ATCAAAATGCAGATTGGCGAATACGGTTAGTCATCGAACCGACCTTGATCTTCAATTGAGCTAATGCTTTGTTGTTATTTTTTCTGTGTATCTTCAGACCATTACCAGATGATTTTATCCATTATGCTCGTTGTGATACACATTATTTACTATACATTCATGATATTCTTCGAAATCTTTTATTAGAATCATGTCAAAATAACCCATTACATTTACAACAAGTTTATGATCGATCTTGTCAAGTCTGTCAAAAGGTATGTATTGTAACAGTACCTTTGAAAACATTCGGTTTTATTCTTATTCCTTTCTTTCAGACATATCGTCATCGTTCATTTGATTCAAAAGCAGTAAAAAAGTTAAAACTTAGTCCAGTTGACGAGCAAAAGGCGATTCTTGATGCTCTTTATCTTTTGAGAGACGATATCGCGAGACGAGAAGATGAATCAAATGGGTACGTGAAGCTCAAAAACACCTTAGATAAAAAATTTTAATTTTTTTTCTGCTTTAGATTTGTGATGGGTAATGATATTTTGATTAAATTAGTCGAAGACCGACCAACGTACGTAAAACGTACATGCCAAATGATTTTATGCGCATCTCTAACCGTGTATGTTCTTTTTCTTCTGTTTAGAACTGCACAACAATTTTATCAATCATTTCGTCCTGGACAGCCATCTCAGATGCTGATGCAATATATAGACAAAATTTTGGATATCATTACTACCGGTGGACGATCGTACAGTGGAAGTACTCGTGTGCTTTGCGGCTTAGCTGCTGCATGCCCCGGGGAAAACACCAGGGATTCAACACCGGAATTGGTTATTGACATATCCAGTGATGTATTACAAGAATTGAAAGAAAGAATAACATTGAGAAAACTGGTGAAAAAAATGTATACAATGGAAAAATTATGTGGAATACCAACGTCGATTCGATTTGTTATTGGTGAATTTGATTATGATCGAGTCAATTTTCCACAAGTTATAAATATGAAAGAGAATATGTGTGGTAAGTGATTAAAGTATTGTGTGATTGCTATTATTCTGTAATTTGTCCTTTGTTACCCTCCCTCAGACTAATCACGTTTTTTTTGGACACTCAGGTGCTGGTGATATGAAGAAAATTGAATATATATGTGTTAATAGAACAAGTGAACGATTAAAACGATTAATCGATTATAAACAACAACAAGAAGGTGATGAACAAATAGAATATGAACATGATAGTAAGTTTGATAATTATTTGTCCTAGAAAAGCTCAAGTATTTCTGTTTTGCTTAGCTAAACAATATGACAATACTCGATTAAGAAATCATGTGGCAAGAAGAACGGCAATTGGAGCAAAACACACTGGGGCACATCGAATTGGATATGCAACTGAGTGTCGTAAACAATGCCAAGCTGAACGTCGTAAACAGCGTAAATGTGAACGTCAAAGGCAAGTGAAACTTTAGTAACACTATATTGGCTTAATTGAAGTCTTTTGTTTATTTTTAGAGGATATTATTCTGATAAATATGGGTGTGTGGAATCGATAATGGAACCAATCGTGCGCTTTGCGGCTTAGCTGCTGCAAGCCTAGACTGAACATTGTCGATGTTCCTAGACTTATGTGTGGCTGTTCAACAGTTATTGCTTTCAAATTTGAACACTAATGGCTGTCAGATACATACATTTAGCATCTGATTTTTCTATGTTTTCTGAATGAGATGAATGTTTTGTTTCTTGCACAACAATGTTTATTCTTGTGTGCTTTTTTCTGTTATTTCTTTGTTTACCGGCAAATAAAATGTTAGCCGCGAAGTTGAAAGCTGTAAAAGAGTAACGGAAAAAAACATATTTACTGTAAAAGCTGTTGGTCTTAAAGTTAAGAAAGTTAAAAGACGAGGAGAAAACTGTCTTTAGTAAAAGATATGATAACTAACTCAAACATAGATCAATAAACTTTTTTAGAGTGGTACACTTAAACATTGTTCTTATTTAGAATTTTCGAACTTTATAGTCGTTTTCAACAAAATTAAAGGTCGTAATGTAATAAACTGTGAGAGGGAGAAGAGAATTGTTTATTTTCACTTATACTATACGTGCTCTACTTTAACCACTGTTCATTCCGTTAAGTAGATGACACTATTCGATGACATTCTTTCGTGTTATAGACGGTTTTATATCATCAGGATAAATGTATAATGATACAGATCGATCTGTATCGTTTAACACAGGGTATGTTGACCTAATTACCAACGATTCTTTAATTAGTAACTTAGATTGATGTTTTTCTAAAAGAATTTTAGAAAAATCTTCTGCTCTGAATTCATTTGTTGAAAATGACGATAAAAGTCGACAATTACAAATTAGAAAGGAAATGTTTAATGCTGCAATTATCTTGTCGTGCTTTACTATTTAACAATTACTATAACGATTTTTAGATGAGTTCGATCATCTTAATTTAGGGAAAAAGAAGACTCTGAACTACCGGCATGTATCGTAAAGCTAAAGCGAAAAATGGATCATTATATAGACAACGTTGGACTTAAGCATGCACCAGTTAAAAACCAGCTTTTTTATCCTGTTTTCGCAGAAACTCAATTGTACGAAGACTATGGCATATTAAATTTTTCTCATAACTGAGTTTTGTAGAGCAAACATTTATCTACAAAATAAGCTACAGGAGCAATCTGCATCGCGATCCAGCACTTATAAAAAAAGTATTTAATTGGATTTATTCTTAATAACGGAAACCAATAAATGGGACCCTTCATAGAAAGACAATTGCAAACAGAAAAGATGGAAAGACAGCTCATTTTATAGAGAAATGTTTGTTCCGCAAAACTCAATTATGAGAAACATTTAATATGCCATACTCTTAATAAAATCTGTTTTCGAAAAAGGCTAAAAGTATTGGTTTTTAACCGATGCGTGGCTAGTTGGACGCCGAAGAAAATAAGACATATGTACGAGATTCTGTAACCTTCATTATATTCCAGATGAACCGTTTTAATTCAGCGAGCTCTGTTTCTACCACATCCTCTGTCTTTCACGACTGTGCTAAATCGCATGCATTACTTAAAGAAGAAAAAGACGAAAAATATTATGTAGTTCCAATTGAAAATATTGCAACATACGGCAGTGATGCAACAAAGTTAAAACGAAACACAGTTGTATCGTTTAAACTTGCTGTTAAAAGTCGAGAAACATATCGTGGAAAAATTGAATATCTCGGTAAGAATAGGAATTCTGACCGTGCTACCTTTATTTGAATTTTTGTTTTATTCTTTAAGGTACAGAAGAGCATTGCAACGAACAAAAATATATGAATGAAACAACTACTCTGGACGAAGTTGCACAGGAAGAAGAAGAATTTTCCGCACCTGATCAAGCAGTAAAAATATTACAACAAACATCGAAACCGCTATTATCACAGTCATTAATACTCACTCGAGAAAAGTCGGCAGTATCTAGAGGTGATGAAGAACAACATACAACAGATTCATCAATAAGTGTTTCACAACAAAGTAGTCAGATGAGCTTACAAAAGAGCAAAAAAAGAAAACTTTCAGTGGAAATTATTAATGATAATAAAGAAAATCAGAAAACACAATTATTAACATCAGGGACAACGACAGGCAAACATCCTTATCAACAACAACAACGAAAAACACACCAAACTGGTAAACATGGTTCAGTATCCGCTGTACTGTTGAATCCTACGCGATGTTTAGCTGTATCACATGATGGATACAATAGAACTGACCATGATGAACACCGTCATCATCAACAACAACGAGCAACAGCATCCGACAAAGGTGCTAGACGTATTTCATTACCACCTGCCGGTAATACACTACAGCAACAGACAACAGGAAACAAATGTGCTGTACGTCCTTCATCATCAGCGTCGGTTGATACGCCTTTGAATCCGAAACGATGTTTAGCTGCGTCGCAGGACAGAGTAACTGATGACAATGATGATGGTGAAAATTTATTTTTATCAACTCATGACCACAGTGAAATAGGTTTTGTAGATGAAGGTAAATACAACTCTTTGTTGGAAAGATATAAAAAATTGAAAGAATCACATACCAGATTAGAAAAATCGTATAAAATATTAGAAAAAACAACAATACGTAAGCGAACTTTACATCTGCGAAAACTATAGATACCTGCTTTCATGATCTTTTTGTACTTTAGCCCTGCCACCTCCAGCTGCTCAGGAATATTTTATTCGAATGGGCACTTATTTAGATGCGAAACCAATGAATGATAATCTAGATACATTAGCAAAAGTAATATGCCTTCCAGTTGGCCAATTGTTATCGTGTAAAGATCAAAATATTACGCGAACAACAAGAAATGTAATTAGAAAAATGTATACAGATGATGAACGAATTGCAATGAAAGGTCCAGATATTCCACGAGCCGCTCGTGATGGTTTAGAACGTAGGCATTTTTTACACAAGAAATTTTATCGTATCTTCTCGTATCTTTCTATTTTACCTTTCAGTGTTTGTCAAACTGCAGTTTCCAAGAGAAAAATTCGTAAAACGTGATTTTTTAGAAGCAATCAATGCTCTGTTTCGTTTAGCATCTTTCAGTGCTAAATCTAATAAGAAGCCGGAAAATACAGCAACATTATCAAATCAGGATAATGATGATAGTTATCTTGACGATGGTGATGATGTTGCAGCCGATGGTACCTCTGCAGAACAAATAGCTTGATTGTAAAGAAGCGAACATTAGAAATCTTTTAACTGCTTTTTTATATTCTTTTTTTGAGCGGTATATAAAGAGATGAAAATAAAAAATACCAGAATGTCTTTTCTTCTTTCTGTTGTACGCTAAGGCCAAATAAAGAACTGCACCCGGTAATTATGAAAAACTCATACTGTTCATTTTTTTGTAGATATGTGTTCGCGAACTACCACATGGCGACAAAAGAAAAAAGTTAAGCAAAGCATTTGTGATGTTTATGAACAATATGACATGCTTGTAGAGTATTTGGATAATAAGTAAACACTTTCTATTC